TAAGACCCCACCTAGAATATTGTGTGCAAGTTTGGTCACCATACCTTAAAAAGTATATTGTGTGCTGCCTTGGAAAAGGTTCAATATAGGGCTACAAGAATGATTCCTGGTCTTAGAGGAATGTCTTATGAGGAGAGGTTAGCTGAGCTGAATCTGTTTAGCCTTGAGCAAAGGAGACTAAGGGGGGACATGATCCAGGTATATAAGATTCTAACGGGTCTGGATGCTGTTCAGCCAAATGGCTATTTCAATATTAGTTTAAATACTAGAACTCGTGGCCATAGGTGGAAATTAGCAGGAGAACATTTTAAAATGAGAAAGCACTTCTTTACACAGCGTGTAGTTAGAGTATGGAATAGTCTTCCTGTTAGTGTAATGCAAGCTGAACCCCTGGGTTCCTTTAAATCAGAGCTAGGTAAGATTTTAATAACTCTGAGCTATTAGTTAAGTTCTCCCCAAATGAGCTTGATGGACCGAATGGCCTCCTCTCATTTGTAAATTTAAAGTTAAACTAACATACCAAAAGATTCAAATTTTTGATACTTTGTTCATAATTTAAAGAAAACCTGTGGATATGTGAAAATCCATGATACAAAATGGTATAAGATGTATAAAATACATATTGCAACAAATATAATCATACCGATATATTCATAACTGTTTAGGAATAATAAATATATATGAATAATAAATATACATAATTATAAAAAAAATTGAAAAAAACAGTGTTTTGCAATATTTGCAGTACATTTGAATCTTATACTGAGAATGACCCAATAATAATTTGAAAAAGTGCAGGCTGCTCTAACGCTGTAAGTTTGAGAATTTCTCCCTAATTGTGATAGTCAATGGCACATAATTAAGATTAAAAGTTTTAAAAGATTAAAATTTGAAACACAAATGCAAAAAGCTCAAATTAGAGTGAGATGCCTGTTGCCTTTAAACTGAAATGGGTGCAGAAAAGAAAAGGAAGAGCATACGATAAGATGAGCAGAAGGCTGAGGGTGAGAATTGTGGTTGGAAATTTAAGAACGGATGTGCAAAACCACCGTTGAGCCAGTACAGCTACACGATGACTAAACAAAGGTCATCTGTTAGAGAAGATGAGAGAAAGCAGAGAGAGAAGCCTGGGGCCCAGGCATGTTTTCATTATGGTTCAGCAGCAAAGCTCAGGTGGAGCAGCTGTTACAAGGATCTGTTCTTTTCTCTTTTAAGCTTCTTTAAAGTACTGCTGTTAAAGTTAAAGGAACCATATATGTTCCATGTATTTAAAAGCACAATTTCACCCTCTTTCCAATTCCAGTTTCATTAATGGTTCTTATAGGGGTAGAAAAATGGATGGCAAACAGAACCTGGCAAACAGAACCTCTATTAGTGAAATTAATATGGTAAATAACATAACATAACAACATAACATAACATAACATAACATAACATAACATAACATAACATTATACAGTAGATGTTCTAAAGTCACTCAAAGAGAAACCTGCATCTTGTGTATTTATCTGAAGGTTTTGCACAGACAGGCATGTGAAAGCAGTTTACACTGGGATTACTTACTCTCTTGGCAATTATCTGGATTGCTAGTTTCCTCATGTCATGAAAGTTGAGCTGAGTTCTGGAAACCCACACTGACTCCCTGAGGAGCCCAATCTGCAGTTGGATCAGTGCTAGGCCCTGGGAAAGCTGAGGGGCAAGAGGAAGCTTGCCCGGTGTGACAGGGGGGTTCACTGACATCACTGACAGAGCGGCTGGAGATACAGGAACACAGAGAGACATGTCAGTGAGCTGGAGAAACGGCATCAGTCACTGTGCAGAGCAATCATTACACAGAAACACAGAGAGACACGCCAGTGAGCTGGAGACACGGCATCAGTCACTGTGCAGAGCAATCATTACACAGGAACGCAGAGAGAAATGCCAGTGAGCTGGAGAAACGGCATCAGTCACTGTGCAGAGCAATCATTACACAGAAACACAGAGAGACACGCCAGTGAGCTGGAGACACGGCATCAGTCACT